AGGCGCCTCCTGGTGGCCAACCAGCCTCTCTGGTCCCTGCTCGGAGTCTGAAGCCTGCCCAGGGTTCCCCACATCATCCAGAGCTGACTCATAGGGTCCTTCGCTATTGGAGTCTGTTGGCAGCTCCAACAGCTCCTGCTGGGCCACAACAGTAACCTTGTGTCGGCGTGACTCACCGTACGGAGGGAGGGTCAGAACAGTTACTAAATTACATGCAGGAAAGTTTTTGTTCTGTCAGCATCAAAGGCACAATAATTCATGTTATTTTCAAAGATTTGTATTCAAAATATAGAAAAAGTAATACCTTTCTATATTCCTGAAGAACTATTTGGATTTCTTTCAATTCTGGATGATCAGGTAAAAAATAAATTTCATGTAAGAAGTCTTGGACTGCATCCCTAACCAATAAAGCAAAATAACAAATACTGTTAAATAAAAAATATTTTTAAAGCATGCACAATATGCTTAAATACGCATAAATTGGAAATGGTCAAAAATACATTTTTAATTTTGTGGAAATTACAGCTTGAGCTTTTAGACAGTCTGCCTTTATTCAAATCCATGTGTGATTTATTAAGTAATACACACATTCTCAGAAAACAGCAATCTTCTTTCTTCCTCTTTCAATTGAGAGTGATATGATTTACAAAAGAAACATTAGAAGAGAAAGGAAAAAACCTGCTTCTACAAGGAAACATACATTGACGATTGTAAATTTTCTGTATTTGGGGGATTTATGATATATTGTTAATGGCATTTGAAACTGAGGAAAGGGTGATTTTGCAATATTACTTATTACATTTATATCTTAAGAAGATTTTGTATAATCCCAGAAAGATACAGTTAAAAATATTTTGTTACCTGTTCTCAACTATAAGAAAATGGAAGATCGCTGCTGTTTCTTTTTGTTGAACATGTATGAGGGGCAAGAGTGCTACTATCACATGACTCAAGAGAGACCCAAGATGACTTTGATCCAAACATCGTACAAAGCAATCCCAAGCCCTAAAACACAAAAGCAACATAACATATACAGTATTGTTTTATATTTTTCAGCAATTAGACATTTCAAAATCATCCATTTAAGCCAGGTATACCACAATGATTTCTTTTTAATCTTATATATAAGAAGAGACAGTAATAAATCAGGATTTTAGTAGTTTTCTTACTTGCAACACAGTTGTGGGAAATCATCTTTATATCTCAGCCCTGTCCTTAGTGTTGTCATCATCTTCACTCTCACTGCAGTAATATGTTTAGGGCCCATAAGCTTCATTAAAGCCATCAAACTGTTTAAAGCCTACAGTTGAGAAAATTCGGGGTTCAGTTCAGGTGGTAATAATGACTATAAAGCCCTAAATAGATAGGGACTACATTATTTGAGGGATTGTCACTCCCTGGTTACATCTACTCACTTCATCGTCCAGCAGAAGAGGCATGCTATAGGACATGACTACAAAAGAGCATCATCTATATCTGAAGCCAGGAAGAGAAACCTTTCTGCCATGATGCCTGCCCTTTGAAATATTCCCTCAGATCATAGATTGGCTCTGATCCTGCTGGCCTGGAGACATGTATTTGCCATCACACTTAAGAATCTATGGTAATTGGGGGGGGGGCTTCTACAATGATCATATTAGACATGAAATAATGATTGATTTAACTGCTGATTATAGTTTTGTTTTAAAACAGTTTTATAACCCATATCTGTTTGGCTGTTGTGATCAGCTCCGAGTCACTAAGGTGAAATAGGTAACTATAGAAATTGAATTAATTAATTAAAAATTTTAAACTACAAGCTAAGAGTTCTTTAAGCAGAACAACAGAATTGGAATGTCAGGACTAGCTATGGAAAACATAGCACTGCTCCTCCCCAATCCATAAAAGAGTTAAAAAAAAATTCCTCCATCTTCTCTCTCTAAATTAAAACCGGTCCTTTACAGATAGTCAAGCTTTTTAATTATTTTAACCAGACTTTAATTTTTACCAAGATTATATATTCTTTGCGTGCACTAGAGGTTGGGTTCAAAGGCAATGTACTCTGTCAGTTATTTAGACTCCCTTTTATAAAAATAATCAGAAATTATGAATATAGTTTTTCTATATTACTAAAAGCAAATGAAAAAAATAACTACAGGGTTTCTCCCAACCTCATTAGTATTAACAAGAGCAGCCAGAAAGAAAATACCACATTCAAGTATTCTTTTACAAGGATTTCATTGCTAACTAAGAAAAAAAATACTCATGTCTATTTTGTTTTCAACCAAGGATTTACTCACCATTTTCTTATCTTCAATTCCAATGCTAGAGCTCAACAACTGCATGTTGAAAAAGGCCAGAATGCCTAGCAATTTTGGTTGTAAATAATCAGCCTAAATAGCAATAAAACATATTCTGATATTTTAAAATATTTAAAATACAGTACTAATATCTGGCAACATACTTAGCCCTTACGTATAAGTTACATTTAGTCTAAACTACAAAATAAGATAAAATATTCCATTTCCTTTCAGTCTCAACCTGACTGATGATGATGGATTTAAAAAATTAATATCAATTCTCATGTTTTATAGCGTATATCTTGAATGGTATTTTTCAGTACACTGACCACCAGAAGATACCATCTAACCGAAAAATACTGCACAGGATATATGCTGTATAAAAATAGAGAAATTCCCTTTCCAAGAAGAAGCATGGAAGTCAGGTAAAAATACCTGGAGGCATGACATAAGCTAATTTAGCTCTCTGCTCTGCTTAAAGGGAGGTGAGCTGAATGTACAATTCCAAGAGAGCTTCTAGGATTGCTGGCTCTAGTTTATCAAACAGGTGATGCTTGCAAAAACATAACCAGGCCACATTCAGAACAAATTTCAGGTCATCCTTGTTTAGCAACTGCCTCATTTAGTGTCCATTTATAGTTACAACAGTCATGAAAAGTAACTTTATGACCAATCCTCACATTTGCAACCTTTTCAGGTCTATAAAGCAAAGGAAAGCTGAAGTAAGATGATAAGCACTGTCACGGTTTCACATAGCAACTGCTTCACTTAACAACTGAGTTGCTGGTCCCAATTGTGACTAATAAATAATGACCTTTACTTCCTATCTGAATAGTCATGCATCAACCACCACATCACTCACAACTTTAATTCATGAAAGTCATCTGTTCTTTTTAAAATATAACTGAAAGTTTTAAAAGCGAAGAGTACAAATCAACACTAACTAAATTGTTAAGAGAAGGGAGGGGAAGAGAAAGGAAGAATAAAGGAGAAATATAAAGTTTAAAAAAAGACAAGAAAGATACAAAAGAAAAAAAGAAGTGGCTTCTGTTCTTCTTTAAATCAGTTATAAGTATAGATTTACCTCTTTTCTCTAAAGTTATATTATGACTCTTCTTTCTATAGTCTACCTGATCTAATCATAAAAACCACAGATCATAATCTCATTTTTTTCTGTTTTATAAAAAAAAATCATGGGGTTTGAAAGTTTCCAAAAATGTTGAACAGAAGCAATACATTATAATAAGATATAAATAGTTAACTGGGTTACAAATGTTTATAAATTATATAAATATGTCAATATCTATTAGTCAGAAAGTACTACCAGACTTCTGATTTGTTGGCCACCATAGATTAACATGGCTCTCCTCCTAACAAAAGTTACAAGAGCTATTCCTTTCTCTCTTAAGTGGGCAGAAGAAACTACAAATTGGTATTGCTACTTACCATTTGCTCAGGAGATGTGATGTCCTTTGGTCCTTGATATGGGTCATCATTTGAAGCAAATGAAGCTAGAATTGATAATCCATTGAAGACCTGCTGATAGTGCTCCCCTAATCGGAGCAATAATTCATTATGCAATCCCTGAAAATCCTGTCTCAGCAAACTTCCAAGTTCTATCTCTGTTTCATTCTATAAGATACCATGGAAAAATGTTATTGGCTTGAAAATTATACAAGCATGTGCACAACATAAAAATATTACAGCACAACAATTCCCATTACTGCAAATACAGGTGAGCCACTAATTTGCTAAATGAAAACACCACTGTTTCCAAGGGGGAAAATAAATGTTTATAATATCCTTCAATGGAAGAACCTGGTCTGTAAATTAGTTTTTGTTCTGCAACCAAAAGAAACAGAGAGCTATGATTAAGGCTTGGTTCTTCCCTTTGAAGATTAAGTTTATTTCAAAGAGAATCTTTAAAATATCTTAGAAGTACCCAAGAGTTTTACTGTGATTGCAGTGAGGGTCCATGCCATTTAATCAATTTTCAATACATTCCAAAACACGATCAATCTTACTATTCTGAACTTTCTTCTATAAAGTTTAATCTTACCTTAAGATAATGAAGTGCTCGCTCCAGCTCATCCTTACTACAGAAGCAAACTAAATGAGAGAAGATGTACTTGAAATTGTTAATGAGGATCTCCCTGCGGTTTACATTTAGTTGTTTTGCTATCATTCGGATAAGTACAGAGGCTGCAGGACTAGCCTTGGCAGCAAGGTCAGGCAAAAGCACTTGGAGGATCCGCTGGAAAAATAAAAAGATGGATGTTTTTGGAATGTTATACCTTCATGTAAATAAATGTACAAATTTAGTGTCACTCCTAATTCAAAATGATAATGCTAATCATTCTAACCTAACAAGTACACTACACATTGCACAGTGCAAATCCCATAATCTCTAGACAACATGACCAATGAAAGTCACAACACTGAGGACTGAATTTTGTGTGTGCGTGCCTTCAANACTCTGTCTTAATTTAAACTATACAGAGAGACAAATAAAACATATTATATCAGTGTACTTTCTGCAATTTTCTGGGCTTTTAATTCTGCATTCATACTAGAAATAAATATTTTCTAAATATTTCTCAATATGTAACTTATTGAATAGCATTAATTTTTGGTTGTTTAGATTACATCTCCATCTTTCACAGGCATATCTGATGTTGATCCAAGATCAGGCCTTATTTGTGGCATCCTGACTTTGAAATACTATATTTAAAAGAATTGCCTAAAAACGTTCATAACTTCCAAGTGACAGGTAAAGGACCTTTTAGATTAGTGTTCTTAAATATAGTCCAAGTACCCCTACAGGGCCCCCGATATCCTCTTAGGGATCTGAGAAGTCAAAGTTATTTGCCAAATGTGGGGAAAAAATTCAAATATTTTTATTTGTTACAGGGTTTTTTCAAGAAAAACATTTGTTAATAGCCAATGGATTTGATATTATTTTTACATGATTCAATAAATAACAGTTCAATGAATGAATTGATTTTAATATTTAATATGTAAATATCAGTATAATTCATATAGCCAAAAGCTCTTGTGGGGGGCCATCATGATTTTTAAAAGTGGAAAGGAATCTTTAGAGCAAAATATTTAAATAATATTTAGATTAAATAAAAGCAGTTTGTAAAAATCATATCACTAAGGAAACAGACAGAACAATAAAAACATGAAAAATAAATATAAGAATTGTTTACTTACTAAAATGGCTTGCCAGATGTTTACTCAAAGCAAAAAGATCCAAATTAAGACCAGGAAGCATGGATGGGAAATCATCTAAATGGCTGGAAATCCATGGCAAAGATAGTATTCCAAACAAGTTGTCAAACACTTCATCGTTAAACTGGAATTTAACTTTTAGGTGATAGAAATGTACACACTTTTACTGAGATGACTTACAAGAAGTAAATACATTAACAAGAGAACAGCATCAGGTCATTTTAACTTTGTGGAGAGACAAGTTTTATATTGACATTAAAAATGATGATCACGTTTGAAATTCTGAGGATATGTAAATTGGATTTTATCAGATACTGAATTAATGTTATGCTCCAATAAATCAAGCTATTGGGAGAATTAAGGTAAAGCCTCCCTCAAGTCAAGTTTGACTTTTGATAATTAGCTGAATTCATGAATGTAGGGGTTCTGGCACCAGTATGGCAATATGGAAATGGTTTGCCATTCTTGTTTTCTATGGCCTAATGGGCAGGCATTATAATGTGCCACAATGCTTCTAGTAACCTGTACCATCCAAGACTTGGTACAGACATGGCTTGAATACTTTGTTACACTTTCCTTTTCCTGTCTTTTTAAATTTGCTGCATGATGTTCTTGGAAATTCAATACCATGCAAATATGTTGCAAAAGCAGCAGCTCCGGAAGCTGCCCTATTTCCATCATCAATATGGCTATTTTTGCTTGTTAAGGTATTTAAAAAAGAAGTCTTACCTTGCATATAAAGGAAGGCATCAATTATTTTCACCACTTTTTGAATCACTGCCTCCAGGTCTGATATCAGTGAAGCACTATCCAGAAGCTTCCAACAAATTCTAATTGCTCTCATGATAAATTCTGAAGAAACCCATATTAACTGGATGTGTTCTCTTGATTCTGAAGCATTACCATTTTCATGACCAAATAAATTACATACTTGAACAACTTGATGATCTACACTGTTAAGAAAGAAAAATATAACTGGTCAGTGAAAGAGTTTAATGAGTAACATTTTTTTTCCATTCTTAAGAAATGGAGTTCAAAAACTGTCTGACTCAGCAAACCATCTGATCATATCTACAGTTTATCAAGATCTTTAAAAACACTATTTCTATCAAGTTATACATTTCTTGACACCATAGAAGGAAGACCACTACCACATCATGCTCGTTTTCAAAATGAAATGCTGGCCTAACAGTAAGCAGTGGGCAAGTTTCTAGAGAGCCCCTAGTTCAGTGATGGCAAACCTTTTTCACCTGAGGTGCCAAAAGCATGAGCGTGCACCCTATCGTGCACACTCACATGCCCTCTACACATGTGCACGTGTGAACACCCGCCCTGCTGCCCCGCGTATGCACGCACGGCTTTCTAGGAGTCTGGAAAGGGCAAAGCAGCTTCCCCTGCTCTCCCAGGAGGTCCTCCTGAGGCCGGAAACAGCCTGTTTTTCGACTTCTGGGTTGCCCATAGAAACGTTTTTCTCCCTACATTTTCCAAACTTCCGGTTTGTGCATTGGGTTATTTTTCACCCTTTGGAGGCTTCAGGAAAGCCTCCAGAGGGTGAAAAACACCCAAAAATGAAGGCCAAAATTAGGAGCTGACAGGGCAATGCCTAGCGTGCCCTAAGAAATGGCTCCGCATGCCACCTTTGGCATGCGTGCCATAGGTTCACCATCATGGCTCTTGATGGTAAGACAGTTGCTCTTATAACTCCATGCTTTTCCCCCCAAAGCTTAACTGAACCAATAGCATGTGAGTATTTACAAAAATATCAGAAATATCAGAAATATCTTCAGATATTTTTGTAAAGCTCAAATAAAGAAGAAACTGTCTTTAATTCTTTTACCTGTTGAAATCTTCTCTAGAATGGACTGTACATATGGTGGCCAGTTGAGCTATTAAAGCAATTCCTTCTACAGTTTGCAGAGCTTCCACTGGAAGGTTGTCTTGTTCCAAAAGCGACATCAGAGAGTCTGCCTTCTGGCATATCAAATTCCACAACTTGCTCTTCATTTTCATGTTCATGATATGGGGCCTGTGAATCAACATTTTAGATACCATTTTAGAGCATTTTGTGGTAAGTTTACTATAAAACTAGAAGCGAAATAAAATATTTGGTAATAGTGAAACTAGATGAAGACTGTTTTAAATCTTTCATTTTGAAAGAAACATGTTTAAGGAAACAATATATATATATATATATATATATATATATATATATATATAT